GCAAAACTCGTGGGTTAAAAGAATGCAATTTAACAGAACAGCAAAAGGAAAAGATGAAAACGCGATTACAGTACCGCCGCGAAGCGCACCGACAGAACCCGCACCACCGCAGCCCACCCCCAAGTCGGGACTGCTCTCCTCGCCCCGGCTACCGCCTCTTATAGCCCGGGCATGGGTCACGTGGTATGGAATACCTGCCCCCTGCCGGCTCCGGGGGAGATTAACCCCATCCCTGCCGCAACCAGGACATCAGGGCATCTGCATTTATCTCAGGTGAAACGTACCAGCCCGTATCACAACCACTTTGAATTTCTGTTTCACACTTGCACACGGCTCTTGTTGCTGGGTTGTTTTGTTTGGGGGTTTTTTTGCTATTTTTCTTCCCTAGCCACCCCTAACACTAAAAATAGAGTCTGACTAAGGACACCTGACCTGCTGCTGACACTGTATGCAGTGAGGGAATTCTCTGCTTGAGATGCTCGTAGTGCAGTGCTCATTCCATGCCACTTCCCCTTCCACTGCAGCTAGAGCATATGGAATAACCTCACCAAGTTATACACAGCTTTCAGAGACCAGTATCCCTGCTACTAACCAAATATGCAATTTTGCTGAAGACACGTAGAGTCCTACCCTCACCAGGAATTATACCTTCTCTTCATACTGCTTTGAACTGTTTAAAAGCTGTCAGGTTTTGATTGCTTGCTTCATAATTCAATTTCTGAGGTCAGGGACAGCAGATATTTGGGAAGCACATGCAGCTACAACGTGCCTGAGCTAGTGTGCTTTGTGACCTACTTCTGTCTCTGAATTCCTCAGGCTAGAAATATGCAGAATTCAAGTTTGAAATGTATTTCTTATGGCACTAGAACAAATGCAGTGACTGGATGCCATATAATCAATGAAGTCATTCTACAGTGATGGCGGGGATTAAATTGACATGTCTGTACCCAGTGCTTCATTTCAAGCATGCTAGTTTCAAGACATTGTGAATTCTAGCACCAATAAAGGAGACTGGTGTGTAATAATAGCATCTGCAAAAAAGAAGACATGCTTCCCTTACTGTGGTCAGTCATGTATGCTATATGATCCAATCTGTAACTCCACAAACTCAATTTCCAACAATTTTCAAATTATTTTTCCATCTGAAAAAGATGTGGAAGATAACTTTCATCATTGTCACAAATACTGATACAGGCTATGTAGCTTTTTTTCTGTTACAGTACATTTAAATATTGTTTTAAAAGAGAAGCCATTAATCCATTATTAAAAAGCTGTATGAATTCAAAGGAAAAAAATAACACACAATTGTCAAATACAACAACATTAAACAAATACACAAAATCTTTCAGTGTCCTGAATTAAGTGGAGTAACTGACAGCAATCTTAATATGCAACAATGGTACTGTGCCACTCACAAACTGCAACTGTATTTAATGCCTCCTTTAACGTAATATCAGAGCAACGTTTCCCAAGGTGATATCCAGTCGTAGCCCATTATGCACCAGAAATTACTTTTTCAGGTAACTGAGAAACTAAAAAAATTGCAGAAATCTAAGGGGAAAAGAAAACAGTGTTCATTAAGTTTTAGTCTATTTTTGATTTGATTGTACATGAAGCTGTGGTAACACCAAATAAATATTTCTTTGCATTTTTTCTTAAAAGCATTAGATTGTTCTCCAATTTAAATTTTGCTAGAGCAGTGTCCTTCAGAGGGAGATTTATATTTATACCCTTTTGGTAGGTTTAAACCTATTTGTCCCAGAAGGAAAGAGCTATGCACGTTATTTGGCAAAACCAACCGGCAATAAGCTTGATTTGTAATGCGGTTTAGTGATGATTGTGTTTCATGTAATGGTCAGATCATAAGTATGCTCTGCACACCGCATGCCCCCACGGAGACACAATGAATGCAATGAAATCTAGTCTGTCCACAGTTCACATTGTATGTAGCGTCATGGAGAATCAAATGGCATAGACAGTTCTAGAAGGCACTTTTAGCTTTAAGACCACCTTCTCCCCAGTCACAGAGCCAGGGACCACAGCCCAGTGTTTGGAAAGCACAAGCCCAGCGCTGTGGGATCCAATTGCCATGCAGGGGGCATGCAGGTGAAACACTTGCAGGCCAAGGCTACAAAGGCTGCTGACCTGCCCACCCTCCTCCTTCCCTCCCCTACAGCCTATCTCTGTCTTGCAGAATGCAGGTAACAATGGCTGACAGAACAAGCTTCTGCCACTGTGGCTGATGCACAGATATTAGCACTGACAACCTGAACAACAGGACAACTCCCAAGGTAATGGCAGCTCTAACACTTTTTAGGTGGTGGGGATCTCAATGGAAAGCCATTTAATATACAGAAGTGTGTATGCAATAGAGATTTAAAAGAAAAACAGTGTGTAAGGAAAGAACAACATAGGAAATTCATTACCAAGCTAGCGTTAACAAGAACATTTTGTTGTTAAGCGACAAAAAATGTCTAAGTAATTATTTGTAATAGATTACCTCTTAGAGAGGCACACTTAACTCTTTATCAGCCAGCTTGATGATAATCAGGAGACAACCCTCCAAAAATCTGTCTTTAGCACTGGACAACTATTGCATCAAAAGCTTCCTTCATAACTTGACACACCTCATTTACATAACCATCTTTTTTAGCTGAGGAGCTTGTTGAGTCCTGTTTGTGAGGTGCTGCTAAATCACTGGCTTGCTACCAGACAGCTGCAGTCATGTTTTGGAAAGCTGCTACTGCTAAAGCCACAGTTGTACTGTTTGGATTTTCTGCAGTACTTTGTACAGTGTACTACTTATGACATAATGAGAGCAAAGACAGAAGACAACAAAACTGCCCATCATTCAAAATACTGAATAGACAAAACCCCTGTTAATCAGTGCCAAATGCCACACTGATTCTGAAGCTTCTCCATAACCTTTAACTCTTCTTTGTTTTCATGAACTGTACTTGCAATTCTTCCCTGGGAATACCACTGTGTTGCACTGGGTCTCAGCACCCTCCTCTTCAGTATTTCATCATGGGGAGCTGGATGCTTTGGTGGAGCAGAAAAAAAATATAAGAACATGGATAAATATTGAATAAATACCTTCAGTTCTTTGTCCTGATACATAGCTGCTGCATTAAGTTTAACAGGTGAGTGTAACTGCACAAAACGTGTCCCATGAAATTCAAAAAGCGACTGAATGGTTGAGGCTGGCAGTGACCTCTGGAGGTCATCTGGTCAAACTCCCTGCTCCAGCAGAGTCACATAGAGCCAAGTCCCCAGAACCACATCAAGATGGCATCTGAGTATCTCCAAGGAGGGTGACTGCACCACCTTCATGGGCAATCTGTGCCACTGCGTCGTCACCTTCACAGTGAAAAAGCTTTTCCTTATGCTTGGGAGGAACCTGCTGTGTTTCACTCTGTGCCCACTGCCTCCGGTCCTGTCACTGGGCACCACTGTAAAGAACCTGGCTTCAACCTCTTTGCATCCTGCTTGCAGGTATTTATATACACTGATGAGATCTTCCTGAGCCTTCTCTTCTCCAGGCTGAGCTGTCCCCACCCTCTCGCTTTTCCTGCTGTGAGAGATGCTCCAGTCCCTTCATCATCTTGGTGGCCCTTCACTGCACTCTCTCCAGTATGTCCAGGTCTCTCTTGTACTGCAGAGCGCAGCACTGGACCCAGCACTCCAGGTGTGGCCTCACCAGTGCTGAGTAGAGGGGAAGGATCACCTCCCTCAACCTGCTGGCAACGCTCCGCCTAATGCAGCCCAGGACACCATTGGCGTTCTTTGCCGCAAGCGCACATTTCTGGCTTGTGTTCAATTTGGTGTCCACCATGGCTCCCAGGGCATTTTCTGCAAAGCTGCTTTCCAGTTAGGCTGCCTCCAGCATGGACTGGGGCCTGTACTGGTCCCCAGGCGCAGCACTTTGCACTTCCCCTTGCTGAACTGCATGAGGTTCCTGTCACCCATTTCTCCTGCCTGTCCAAGACCCTCTCGATGGCAACACGACCCTCTGGTGTACCAGCCCCTCCTCCCAGTTTGGTGCCATCAGCAAACTCTGCCCCATCATCCAAATCATTAAGGAAGATGTTAAACAGTGCTGGGCCAAGTACTGACCCCTGGGGCACACTGCTAGTTACTGTACTCCAATTAGACTTTGTGCCACTGATCACCACCCTCCGGGCTCATCTTTTATTAGCGCTTGTCGTCCATTCAGGGTGTATCATCACTGCTGCACTCCCCTACAGCCGGCAGGACTGCATGCTTCACACGTCTGACAGGCAGAGCGGGTTTGGCTGCCAGACCTCCCGCCGTTTTCTCTCACTTGCTAAGTGCTGCACAAGGCACTGAACAGGAACAGCACTCTCTAGCGTGCAGTGTAACCTTCCGGTCACCTGGGATTTACGGGAGACATCAGTCAATCTGTCAGCTCGAACCGAATCGTGCCTCGCTCTGCGCATTTCACCCTGGCCGGGGTTTCTCTCAGCCTGCACACCCAGCCCAGTCAGGCGGTAGTACGGCCTACGCCCCCTGACTGACACGGAGCGAGCTGCCACAATGATTTCTTAGTACTGGATCGCTCTCGGACAACGCTTCCGGTACTGACCGGCGAGTTTCTGCCTTCACAGACCCGGACGCCGCCGAACTGGTTTCCCAGCAAGGCCCGTCTGGGCCGCCCGCCCCCGCCCCCCGCGCCCCCCG